AACCCAGAATAAACAAGTACAAGAATTTGAGAAAAACTTCTGAACACAACGAACCCAATGAAGACAATGAGTGCAAAGACGTACAACAAAACTGGTCATCACAATGTGTAGAAAAGGAGGCCCTTTCCTTCAGCATTCTACACCAGAAATTACTGTGATTCTTGTCTTCCTAAGTTTTCCAGTTATTTTATATTCTTCCTGTATGAGAGTGCTGCAAAGTTTTGTTTGCCGAAGCTATTCAGTCGATGCATTGCATAACTGGCCCAATCGTCGTATCCTGGGAGACAGATTTCGAACAACCTCCAGCACTCAATCGGTGAAGTGGAAAATTTGTTTTAAGGACACTGTCTAGTGCAGGCTTCAGTTTGCTTTCTTTTGCAATTTTATTGTTTATGAATTTTTGTTCTATCTATGTATAATTTCCAGCATGAAATTCAGATTGATAATTATATGAATTTATTTGATTTATGTTATCATAGATTTGGTACAACAATGTTTAGCCTTAAATCTTAATTTTATTTTATAATACACAACAAATGTTATGTTAGATTGGACTTTTCAAAGTGTGTTGTTAGATTGGCCATTTCAAAGCTGGTCGAGCCAAATCAAACTTATGAAATTCGTGTATCGTTTGGTAATTATATGTTTTAGTTAAAAAGTCAAAAATTCACTATAATTTGTTACATTACTCTCTCTATTTTTCTGCATAATTTTTCATAAAAAGGCAATAGGTTACAAAAATAACGTGTTCCCAAACGAGATGAAAATGTATGGTTAATCCACCGAATTTTAAATGTATAACTTAGTCATTTTGTGATGATTATTTACCTAAAGCAAACAAAAAATTGGACTACGAAAAAGCTTAAAGTATAAGAGATTTAATGTAAAATTTCATCATACCACATATATGTAATAATTAACCATTTCGAACAATAATTATAAATTTGTTCTCATCTAAGTTTACTATAAATTTATTACAATTCATTGAGTATAAAATCTAAAAATAAAAATAAAAACCCACAAAAATAAATATATTCTCAGTAAGTACATGCTTTCAACAATACATATGCAACATTTGCTTCTAAAAACATTAAAAATGAAAAGGGAAAAAGTAAATAGTATGGGAGCACTGTTAATAAATTAAATTCGCCTATCTCTTGTGATATGGGAGCCTTTCAATAATTGGATCAATTTTGTGAGATCTTTTAAATCAAATTTGGAACAATTTGAAGAAGAATGTTGAAGGAAAGTTTGATTTTTTCAAAATGAAGTAATAATTATTAGAAAAATGTGAATGATGACTTGTTGGTCCCAAAAAAAAAAAAAAAAAGGCAAAAGAAGAAGAACAAGAAAGATTGGCTAAAGCATGAATATCCTAACCATCTATAGGATAAAAGTGTTGATGATTACAGGTTCCAACAATGATGAATTTGAAATAGTCGTAGAATTCAAAAGTTTGACTTTTTTTACATGCAAAAGGTTAAAACAAAAGTGAGAAGAGGCTTTTCTATAGTTCCAACTGGAAAGGGATTGTTGGACTTAATGGGTCTATTTCAAAGTTGGTTTTGATTATTTGTATTGTTTATTTTGTAAGATTCGTCAAAATGATAATTTATATAAAAAATTAAGTTAATTAGATATCGATAGTTATATGTTTAGATTAATTTATCTTATAAAATTAAATAACAAAAACATGATTTTGATAACAGATGGTTTATTTTTTTTAAGACAAATATAATTCAATCATTAGTTAACGATATTGAATCAATTTAATTTTTTACATTAATACTTTTCTCTACAAATTTTAAAAAATAAACAATTTAAATCTTCAGTGTTAAAATGAGCCCCTAAAAGTAAATCTCATCTTATTATAATAAAATTAAACAGAATCTTATATACAGATCTAAGCAAAGTACCACAATCCAAGCAATTTCCATGATTTCTTGTGATTTCCTTAACAAAAGTGCCAGAGGCTTATTCCAGTGTGTGGTAAATTTTTAGTAAATTATTTTGTATTTTTTTTTTAAAATTTATTTTGAACTATGCTTACCAGGATGTTGACTGGACACTTATATCATCAATGTACCATTTTGTTTTTTTAGGGCATTTTTAATGTTCTGGTAGTTGGAAAATGAATTGGAATTTTGACTCATATTTGGTTGAAAATGGGATTTAATCAAAATATGTCAAGAGAGGGGGTCTAGTGGAGTGGTAGCACCTTGAAGATATAGAGTTTTTTTTTGGGGGGGATTAGTTATCCGGGTGATAGTATATATGATATTTTGCCACCTATATGTTTAATTATTTTTTTATTTTGATCTTTAAATTTTTTTTATTTTATTTTAATTCTTTATATTTTAATTTTTTTTAATTTACTCTTAAAATTAATTTTTGTTTAAAACTAGACAGAAAATATCATAATAATTATCACATAATATGAAAATATATATTATTATATGAAAATTTAAGTTTATGTTAGAGATATGAGTGATATATAATAAAATATTTGTATGTCACGTGACTCTTAATGTGTTATTTTTTATCTAATTTTTAAAAGAAAATAGTTTTAGGAACAAATTAAGAAAATCTTAAAATATGAAAGGTCAAAATGAGAAAAAATAAATAAATTTTAAGGCCTAAAATAGAAAAGTGACAAAATATAAAAAAGAGCAAAATATAATTTGCTCTATATAATTAGTAAGGCGAACTTTTTAGGCTTAAAAAAAGAGTGTCAGTTCAAATTTCTTCATGGGTACAACATACAATTACAGAGTTAAATAGCTCTACTGTGAACCACTAGCCTTGGTTCCATAGCCTCCGTTTGGGAAGTGGATTAATTTTTTGGCTTTTTAATTTTTTTGGCTATTTGAGCCTGAGCTCAAAAGTTTGGTTTGGGAAGGATTTTTTGACTTTTTAATTTTTTTGACTTTTTTTAAGAGAAGAGTGTAATGATTATGGGTTAAATATGATATTTTATCTATTGTGACTCAAATAATCTATTCTGTTTTTGTGACTCAAAGAGTCGAAAGAGCCCAAATAGGCTCTCCCCAAACGACAGAGTTAAAATTATCTCAAAAGTCTCCCCGACATGGTTAGATCCAAAACATGACAGGTAAAAGAAATAAGGTTCGACTTTTTGAGTGTGTCGTGGGTTGACTTTTACGCAAAATAAAAATAAAAATAAAAATAAAAAATAAATTAAAAAAAAATTTAAAATTTAAAATTATTAAAAAAAAAATCATATTATGTTTTATTTAGTGTGTGAATATAAATGCACTTTAACTCGTAAAAAAAAAGAAAAAATTTATGTTTTGGGTGTGTGCTATATACACATTTAGTTATAATTTTTGTGTCTGTACTTATAATATAATGTATTGTTAGTTATGACACATTGTAATGTTAGTTATGACATTATTTTAGTTATGATGCATGAGTTGTTTATTAATACCTCATGTGATGTTTGGTTATAACTCAATTTTTTTTTTTTTTTTTATTTTGTGTGCATCATTTTAATGAAGTATATTGTAAGAAATTTATGATTTTTTAGAATAAACACAATGAATGTTTATAGGGCATGTTTGATTGGGTGGATTAGAGCATGGGATTAGGATTATTAATCCGTGGGCCCAATTATCTCATGTTTGTTTTAACATTTTGGTTTAGGATTATTAATCCAATGGATAATTAATCCAACAAATTTGTAGGATTATTAGTAATGGGGTAGGGGTGGGATTATTAATCCAATGGATATTAATCCAATTGGATAGTGAATCCTACACTAATTTAATAGGATTATTAATACTTCACTATTAGTCTTTTGAATCAAACATGACCTTTGTGTACTGTAACATTACCCAAAAATAAATCACATTCCACAAATGTATTTGTAAAATATTGAAAATATATTACTATATAAAAACAATTTGAAGACTTTGACTTACCTTTAATGCAATATAAAGTAATATAGTTTGACATTTGAATGGTTGCATTTGAGAGTACGACACTTGAGCAGAATTACACTCCTTTCATCCATTTTTGGGTGTGTATAACACATGGTTATTATTAATTATGACTTTTGTATAGTTTGTTATGGCTCACTATGGTTTAAAGTAATTGTAAAGCAAACTTACGTAAAATCAAAATGGATTATGAATCTAATAGTGCTTGGTTATAATTTATAGTAATTGTTTTTTTGTTATGAAACTAATGTGTTTAATTATGATCTATAATTAGGGATAGCCACAAGACGGATTTGTGGTCTCCTGCTCATGCCCCATATCACATCTAAGGCAGGACAAATCGAATTGGTGTCAAGGGCAAGGCGGGAGCGAGTTAATTTTGTAATTTAAAAAATAAAAACATTAATAATAATTAAAGATGATATAGTATATTATAAATAATAATTTATCATTAATAAAAGTTAAAATATGTAAGATGAAAAATAAATTAGTGAAAATGAATGGTAATTGTATTGTTTTAGTGGTTTAATCTTATTATATTGAGAAAAAAAATAAAAAATATATATATTATTTATATATAAATATATTTAATAAAATATAATTCGAGTGGAGTGAGGGAAACAAAACCCATCCCTACCTACCTCACTTCTTCATCGGGTGAGAAAAATCTGTGCAAGGCGAGGTGGGGCACGGCCTTGTTTGGCATATACTAAAAAAGTCAAAAAGTCACTATCCTATTTAAGTCACATTATCTTATTTAAGTCTTATCACATCTCTACCACATCACTTCAAACCAAACCCATGCCCAACCCATATTTCATAAAAAGTCAAAAAATATACTTATTTAGAACATTCCCAACCATATTTATTAACCTATAGAGAGTTTCACCGTTGCACCCAATATTTGTCAATATAATACCCTCATGTCCTTGAGTGTCCAGTGTAATAAGAGTTCATCTCAACATTGTTGTTTGGATCCAAACCTACTTACCAAACCAAGACCTCATGTCAGCTAAAAACATTCTCAAAGACAACAGTTGAGAGCGACACAATTCTGTAATTCCAAAGCAACCCTTGACAAATTTTCTTATGATAAACTTAGTTGGAGTAGTTGTTCAAAGCACAGACCTTTCAAATGGAAGAAGATTTTCCAATAGCCACTATATTTTCAGTATTGTTGTGACCAATGTTCTATAAAAGCATGATAAACTATCAGCATATTACATTATTATAGCTTTTGAGGACATTGAAACCCTTTGAACTCGTGTACAAGTCAATGTTTTTGAATCAATAGCCAGTCTCTCTCTGTTACAAAATTGGGAGTAACCTCCAAGCGAACTTCACAACTTTGCGAAACAAGACTACCCTCAGTCATGTTCTGCTATTTACCAGTGGATTTTATGATCACTATCAATTATGAAAGTCTTGCCACTTGCCGAAGAAAGCTTGCTTTGTTGCACAAATATGTTTTTCTCTATTCAATTAGTCAGAGTGAAGTTTTCGCTTTTGACACCTATTGACATACCACTGGGCATGTTTCTTAAGGCCCATGCCAATCAACACTTTGAGACTTGAAAGCATGACAAAAGTCATGGTAGACAGAAGTGAGATCCAAAAGAGTCTCCATGGAAGTGGACTATATGGAAGATGAGCAGCATATACTGGAGCCAATACTCGAATTACCTGAAATCCCCAAAAAAAGAAAAATAATAATAATAATAATAATTTTTTAAAAAAAAATAAAAAATATCCCTTTTACATTGTTAACTCCCACGCATAAGGATAATTTTGACTCTCTGCTACTACATAGGGCCAACTCCAGGAGCTTCTGTTACACATCACATTGTCTCAGTTCACACCATTTTTGTCATTCGCATTTCAGCTTCTGAACAAAAACCAATTGTTCGAATATCAACTATAGAACAGGATTTTATTTGAATAATTGATTTTTGTTCGGAAATTGACATCCGAATGGCATAATGGTGAAAATTGAGAATTTTTGTGGTGTGCAAATAGGGGAGTGCCTGGATCAGCAAGCCTATAACTAAAAATAGCAACTAATGTAACGAAGTATTAATGTATGCTTACCACACAAGCTGGTGCCAAAGGAACAAAAGTGAGGGTTTTCTTCCCATTTTCCATTTCCATATTCAGAGTCTGTCAAAAATATATAAATTAGAAAAATGAGGCTTCTAGAGTATAGACATTACGCATAATCAAAACAGGTGTATATCATGGCCAAAAAAAATCAACAATGCATGTGCTCACCATATAAAGGATCCATATGACAAGTTCTGAATTCCATTTTCCTTTCCTTTTCAGTGTGTCTAGCTCTAAAAATATTAAAAAATAATAATACAAGTTTTGACGCATTGGGGCATATCCAACAAGTATTGGCGTCCAACACACATCCATCGAACATGGCACCGTCTTAAATGTTTCAAGGCTTGAACAGCAACTAAATTAAGGTCCAAAAGTCTTTATATTGAAGGCCATCAAGTAGGAAATGGTTTAGAATTGATTATGCCAAGGTTTCGGGGACTGAAAAAGTGACTTTTTCTAGGGTTGTGAATAGTAACTAAAAAAAACAAAAACAGAGAGAGAGAGAGAGAGAGAGAGAGAGAGAAGCAGAGTCTACGAATCCCACCTAGACTTCTTAGGTATAACGGCCCAAGGCAAGGTTGCATAAAGCCTCACTGTAAGCTTTGAAAGGTTCACATAATAGAAAAAAATATAAATAAATAAATACATGGATATTTATAGGCAACTAGTTATCCTAATTCAACTAAGACTGATTCCAAATTTAGGAAATTTAAGAACTTTGATTAACTAGAATATTCAAAATTTAGTGTTTATAAAAACCTACACCCACTATAGTACCCATTAGATGGACATCTAGGAGGGGTTAGATTGGGTACAAAGCTAACCTTTGGCAATATTTACACAAAGTTGTTGCCCTAAGATTCAAACCCACACCTATAAAGTCATAGACCGAGTTTTAACCACTGAACTAGTGTTTATCGTATATGAGATAATGAGACCCATAAACATCAACCCCTACAGCCCACCTCTTGAAATTTGCAAACCAAAATACCATTGACTACTAAAACCTAACAAAAAACACTAAACACGTCCCATAAAATTCAAACCTTTTCTTAATAGGTATCCAGCAACATTCTTACCTATAAAATGCATAAAAATAGTACTCCAAATTAGCTCTAAACAGCACTACACAAATACCAAATTTACCCTTTTCTTTCCATGTGCTATGTCATTCATTCCAGCATTCGGAAAACCCCATTCTCAAGTTTTGAAATGCTAAAGTATGAAGAACTTAAAATCTTGAACTCACATCCCATTCAAATTGATCTTTTGAAGCAACAAAGACACTGGAGAATCTAATTTCTCCATCAAGCCATTGAATCTATTTGAAATGACAAACTCAATGGTTAGAATCTCTTGCAAGAGACAGAGATCCTTATTCTTACTAGGACCAGAAAGTCCAACCATGTTCTCACTCTTTTCATTGATTTCTCTCTTTTAAATCATGATCATTGCATTCCAGCTTGCTTTCTTCAATCCCACAACAAAATCAACATCTGTTTTGGTAACATCATCATGCTGGTCTATATTACGAGCTTCAACTTGAGTAGGCAACTTGATCTTGAATTTTAAAAGTTGAGACTGTGTATTCCCTTGATTTTGACAAAGAAAAGCATCAATAGAAGCCTTTATTGACAAAAGTACAGTGTTAATGGAGGCTAACTTTGAAGTTAGTTCAATTGTAGTCAGCACTGTAATACAGGAGCAACTGTATCAAAAAGTGTTCCAAAAGGTGCTTCTTTCAGCTATCAAACAGTGCTAGTCACTGTTCCCCACTCTCAAAAAGTTCTCTTCGCAATACCAAAAACCGTACCCAATCATGTCCAAATCAACCCTAATGGCCTAAATCCTTCCGTTTGTATTGGCCTTCAATTTAATATAAATTACTAATTGTTTAGGATCTCAAAATAGCATATGTTATGAATATAATGTGAGCTTTCATTTTTCAATATCAACCCAAATCTCACCTTTTTCCAATAAGAAACCCTAGAAGTTGTCTTCAACCTTCTAGAACCCTAATCCTAGAATCCATTTCTACCCTAAACCCACCACAAATTCATTTAAGTAGCATTATCCCAAGTTTTCTAAAATTATCTTACATCATTAGTGCAACTTTGAATACATATTTTTTCTTAGGCAAAAGCATACTTTTACTCCATCCATTCAGCATCTTCTTACAAAACCAAACCAAGCCTTGTGTCCCACTCAAGTGGGATCGGCTACCTGAATCACTTTTCACCATTTTGCTTTGTCAAGGGCTATTTGCTTAGTTAAATTAAATAAATTCATATCTTAATATGTAAAATCTCATTATATAGATTAGTCAGCCAAACTACTCCATTATTTAAACACAGACAAATTTCAATAGGAATGTCATCTAGTTCTGTAGTTCTTATTTTCAAATTTGCATATCCTCTTTTACCTTCTCTAGCTTTATTTGTCAAGCAAATTTATGACTTGCATCATTTCTAGGGTTATTAAGTTATCTACAGACAGATTAGCATTAAGCTCAAGTGGAGGTGGCCCAATCCCAACCTGTCACACTGACAGAGTGATATACAGATCAGATGTCTGAATGTTACTCCTTGTTCACTTTCTTTCCGTTTAAGTACACAAAAACAGGTAAACATTTGAGTATAAGTTTTTCAAGAGGAATTAAGACATACACGTTGCAAGTATAATTTCATGTTCAAAAAACAATTAATTGAAGATAAACTAACCCAGTAAACATAAGTAAAGACAACGTAACATGTTATTCAACTAAGGAGTAAATTCACAAAGAGGATAAGGAAGCAAAGGCATACCTGTTTGCAAAGATCTTCAAGAAATTCAGAGTATGCAATGGGCTTTAGGTCATTAAATTTAGCAATAAATGAATGCTTTATTATATCAATCATCATTTCACAGACATAAACCAGGAGAGCATTCTGCAAAGTCCAGATAAAACAAATAAGGAAACAAAGAGGCCACACACACAACCAAAACCAAACCAAGCCACACACACATAAAAAAGAAAGACCTTTAATTTTTATATTTTATTTACAATGTATTACTTTCAAAGCGTAGTGCCAGGATTTTCAAGTGAACTTACAAAAAGAAAACTTTCAAACCAAGGACCCTCAGCTTCCAGAATATTTTGGGCTAAGACGAATAATAAAAATGATGAAATGTGAAACCTCTCCACCGAATCTGGACATGGCATAACAGAACTAATGTGAGATAAAGAGAACCAGGTGTGGGAAACCAGCCTTTTGACAATGACGTAATGAAAAATGAAGGCAAATTAAAGTAAGCATATGAAAATACACTAATTGAAAAAATGCCAAGGAAATGATCCCTAATTACGCCTTATTTTCTAATCGAAATCCCTAATCACACATGTACAAGAAAAGAGACAGAGAAAAGAAAGATACAAACAAAACAAGGAAAAGAAATCCTTCAGCTAAGGGAAACTAAATTATAAGAAATACAAAATAAGCTCAACAGTTGCAACTATAATTCCAAAAAAAACAGAAAACTCGAACTTAAACCACAGAGGGGGAAGGCATTAATGAGGCACCTGAAGTTCTAGCCCAAATGCCCAATGTCAAGCATTATGCTGCAACAGTTAACTACATTTGTGTTTGCTAATCCGAATGATTGCAAAAAGTTTGAAGGCCTATGAACCATTATTATCATAACAGATAAATGAGAAGCTTCTAGGTCCAAGAACTTCCATACAGGAAAATTAATTCAAAACATGGATTCAACCAAGTTTGTAAAACTAAACCTCAGAAAAAAATAAATTAAGGGGTGGTTTGGGATGTCCTAAATAAGTGCACTTTTTGACTTTTAAACCAAACAAACCAAACCAAACCAAGCCTTAAGCCCCATTTCAATATGGTTGAGAGAAAAAAATATGGTTGTTTGGGATAACTTTTTGACTTTTTACGAAAAAATGTGTATTAAAATATTGTATAAAATAACAAAATTACCATTTTACCCCTATGCTCTATGCATAGTGTCAGTGAATATTGAAGGAAGCAATACAGAATGCTTTGAATTGTGTGTGGAGGCAGACATGCTTCAGATTTATATAGATAGGATGAGGCTTTCCTTTAGTCCTTCATCGGACTGGAGGGGCTTACCACGGGTCCCATTTCAATAATCCGAACCGTTTAAGGTGTAGAACTCGTCAAGTACTATATGCCTGTAAAAAATCACGTTGATCGGATATCGATAGCTATGTGATCAAATCAGTTTTGTATAAAAAAAAAATGGACGATTAAAAATAAACAGCTGAAAAAAATCTGATTTGATCACATAGCTATCGATATCCAATTAACATGATTTTTTACAAGCATATAATACTTGACGAGTTCTACACATTGAACGGTTCCAATTATCAAAACGGGACCCGTGATGGGCCCCCATGGGCCGAACAACAACATTTTTTGTGAATTTTTTGTGCAGCCAATTAGGTAATTTGTACCATCTGGTTCAGACTGTACCATCACGTTAATGACTTTTTGGGTTGTATTTTTTTTGTGTAAATTTATTTTTTTTACATATTTTTTTTTGTGAATAGTGATAACTTTTTAGCTTTTTTAATAACTTTTTGACTTTTTGTCTTTTCTAGGCTATGCCAAACCAGCCCTAAAATAAAATATGGTTTTCTCACCCTTGAAATCTAACAACAGTCTACCACTGGCCACAAATTATCACAACGGCGCCAACAATATCTTGGGATAGAATTTCCCATCAAGAACCAATACTTTGTGATATTCATTTATTAAAAAATACTCTGTGGTCTTCATCCATCCATAGAATAGAAAAAAGTTAAATGCCGATATTGAAAGTCACTAACACAGGAATGTACACAGATGATATTCAAGAGTATGCATGATATATTGCAGGAACAAGATCAATTCAGGCCTGTTAAGAAAACCGTCAATTTTTTTCCCAATCAAAGTAAGCAAGCATTAAATATATTCTGCTGGACGGATCACAAAAAAAATAATAATAATAATATCATATACTTTTCAAATACAATGTACGAGAACAATAATAGGGAAGCCAACTCACCATAATATACCAGACTCTGAATATTGTCCTTACTAAAACGTTTAAATACGTTGCTCTTGATCTCCGCAAAATTGTTTGATACCAACAAAGCCATCAAGGCATTATTGTGAGCGACAATACAGGTTGACAAAGTAATGGCATGAGCTAATAAGACGAATGAATGAACAAGTAAGAATAGTTAAGGGAACAAAATATAGAAGAGGAAAATAAATATTCTAACACAAATAACAATGTGATTTCCCAAATAAGGATATTTGATGAAGCCACAGCTAATGCTTCGTCTGAAATGAATCTCCATATCCAGTATTTTGTGCTTTCTGGTGAACAGTTTGCAAGTCCTTCCGCAGTATTAAATAGGGTTTGCAGTACATCTCCACCAAAATGTTGGCATAGTTTGTCAAAAATCTGATATCAAGGGAGTAAAGTTAAGTTAATATAACAACACAGAACAAGTATACAAGTTGAAAATTGATCAAGCCAACAAAAAACTTCAGGTGAAGAGGGATGCTACAGAAGCACCATGCCTTTTCCCCATAGGTGAACTAGATCCTGCCTAAGGAATAACGGTACATCAACCCATCAATCTCAAACTTCTGAAATACTGAATGAACATTCAATAAATAAAAAAAATTAGAACTTTCAAGACTCCAGTTACTTCATTGAAGCCCGTGCCTAATTCAATCTCTCTTTCGATTATCATAGGAAGAAATCTTTTTACATCAAACTTTATGTTCTCTTTCATTCTTTGGGAGGGAGAGGAGCAGTAAGGGTAGAAGGCTCTTCACTTATATATTTCTCCAAAACAAGGAAAAACTAATATGTCGATCTATGGTTACTAACTAAATCTATCTCAAATATTAACTGCATGCTTTTTAGTTATAGTATGGTTTTTAAAAATTTCAATCAGACAATTTATCAAAAAATAAAAATAAAAATCCAATCAGACACCTGACAACTGTTTATGTGCGGAGATCAAACTTCTTAGCAATGACAGAATGGCTACATGTGCCTTTATAACATTTTATTTGATGTTAACTTCATTATTGGTTCATGATGGTACATTGCTATTTACTAGTTTCTTTTTTGTCATTTGGATTTTAATGCTGCTTCTATGATAAAACATTATTTCCTTACATCATGGAAGCTTCTTCAAATGGGAAAAGAAAAAAATTACTGAAAGGATAGATATAATAATAGCATAATCAGAGTGTATTTGAGAAGGGCTTCTACATCTATAAAAATCAAAGAAAGCAAACAAGCACCGAGTTTGATGCAAAGTTGGGCAGGAAGGGGCAAAAAGAAAAAGCAAAATACAAACAATCTTTTGCTACTAATGTTGGATTGAAGAAGCATTTTCTGTTTATATCAAGAAAGTCCTGGACCATGCCATCCCACATTAGTAGCATATCTTGAAACTGTATCTATAAGTTTCTTGCTCTTTCTTCTAACAGCAACATCTTCATATCTCTGTTCTTTCTAAAGTGCTAGTTCATGCAATAATTCATTTACAGGCATCAAAGACATTATGTATCAGACTCTATGTTACATGGACTCGGGTACGAGTGTCGGGTGCGGGTGTGTATCCAAGCGGCAGACATTCATAAATTTAAATCTTAGGATCTTGGGGTACGTATCCAAAATTGGATATATGCACATATATATTGTATATTATATAATATTCTCGGATGAGATGATTTAAATTATGTAGAAATATATTAGAAATTAAATATGATTTCGAAAAAAATATGAAATTTCTATATCTAATTCATGTGAGAGCCTAAAAATATTGCTTTACTAACAAATGTGAGTTTCTTTTTCTTCATGTATTGTCACAAATTAAAGTATCTAAGTGTTTAAATTGGGTACGAGCGTCAGACACATATCCCACACCCTTATCCATGTCATATCCGATGGACACGGGTATTGTGGGGGATATAGAAGAGTCCATGTAACACAGATCAGACTTGAGAATCAGATTTTTAACTTCATAGTAAGTTACTGTAAGAAGATTGGTTTTCTTGCTTAATGGAGTCCAATAATTCACTCACCTCCAACACATTGTACACCACATAAAGTTTGATTGTTCCCTGACCACGAATCATGTGATATATAAGGCTGATATCTGAGGCAACAAAATATTAAGAAAAGAGTATAAAATTAGTATGCACCAACAGCTTAATCAAGACAAATTAAGCAATGTAATATATGTGCCTCTAAGTAAGCATAAATAGGCATCGATGACAAGAAAATCAAAAGTAAAAGGGTCAAACTGCCTTGCTTGACCTGTTTGTTTAAGAAGAGCAACTCCACAAGCCAGAACAAGGAAACAGCCAAAGTCAGACAGCTCTGCTGCAGAAGGCCTCTCAAACTGCCTGCCACAAGCATGGTTAGGTTATTTTGTAGATATCACAAGCTACCACAAGTCAATTACACCCAAAAAAGTACTGAGAGAGAGAGAGAGAGGCAATAAAAACACCAACAACAACACAGCAGCAGGAGCTTTAATTTAAAGGCAAAGTCCTTTTCAAAGAAACCCTCTAGCTTTCCCTCTACCTTCCAAATGAACTCGCATGAGTACACAGGAAATTAAATTTTTCCCTGCTTTGGCTCAACCACAGGAAATGATTAGGAAAATGACTTGTCTGAATTGGCATTACCACAATACACATATATATATATATATATATATATTATTTGCCTGAAATCCTTTCAGGAATGCAGGGAATGGCATTCAGGCCAACAGCTAATGCTCACTATTTTAACAAAGATCAAGTACTTTCCAACTATCAATATGGCAAAGGTTCGAAAATCCAAACACCAAGTAATATGAGGGCCAACTGACATACTTTAAGTCCTTTCTATATAGTATGATTTCCTTTAGGAAAACTTTCCAGTTTTTCCAAGTAAGAGCCTTTCAGGTTGTGTTTATGACATGATCGGAACATTAACTTATTATTATCACCCTATGTTGTGAAGGCAGTGTTTCAAAAGGAAACACTTAAGCTTTTAAATAGTTAGTTGCTAACGCTATGGAAAATATAGTTTTACAGAAATTCATGGGTTCATCATTTATTAGGAAAATAAAAAAAAACAAAATAATACAAATAAAAATCCCTCACCTCGATTGAATTTCAATAGTTTCTTTAAAACAAATAAAAATCCTTCACCACAATTGAATTTCAATAGATTCTTTTTATTTTGATAAATTTATTGCAACTTCTGATAGTTAACCTACCTCATGATTATAAAAAAAACATCAAATTAGAAGCGCCAGCCTTTATATATTATCAATTATCCACTATTTCAACAATCATCAAATATTAGATGCTCTTCACAATCTAAGAAGCACAAGCACTTCTAAGAAGGTGGGGTGGAGTGGAGTGTCCGACACAACACAATACTCATTAGACACTTCTCAACACCTATCGGACACACATTCAAACAATGATAGATCCATGATTCGAACTTTGGGGGGACAAACACATATGTAACTTCTCATTTTTTGAAATTATCTTACTATTACTAGTATAATATAACATAGTTTTTACAATTTTTGGGGGTACAACTATGCATTGAAACATCTCATACTATATTTAAAATTTTTCCAAACTCAGACACACTTTAGATACGTGGAGAACACATTTGTCTGTCGCTTAGACACAAATCAATCACATTATAAGTTTGAATAAAATAACTTGAAATCTAATGATAAATATATATATATTCAAAAAAAAAAAAAAAAAACAAACAAACAAACAAACAATGTAAATTACACTTATTCATCTCGCTTTAGATACCTGGAGAACCCATTTGTCTGTACATTATAAGTTTGAATAAAATAACTTGAAATCTAATGATAAATATATATATATATATATATATTACACTTATTCTTCCCCTTTAGATTTTGGAAATTAGTGTTACATTTCATTTTGTCATTATCTTTGAATTAAATATTCATATGCAAGATATATAATAATTGTTTATCCTCACATATATAAAAAATAAAAATATATATATATAGCTATATATTTTGAGAGTATTTCCCATACGTCATGTCCTACATTTTTTGAAAATTTTCATGTCTGTATCGTATCATGTGTCCGCACACGTGCTTCTTCGTTCACAGTTTACTTTGGTTAAAGAAAAAAAAGATGAAAGTCAAGTCTAATTACACATCTCGATCAGAGAATTAACCACTACAACATTTCTAGCTCTTCTAGCAGGAAATTAAGGTAGAAAAGGTTCTTGTTGATGCTCTGAGAATCTTACAGATGTTACGGAGTGTAGAGGGAGAGTAAAAAAACAGGGAGAAAAAAAAAGGGAGTAAAATTCATGTCTGGAAGAATATTTCTGTTTGCAAATTAATGAAAACATTTTCCACGACTGATGTACCTAGATTACACATCTCGTTAAGAGAATCAATCACTACAACATTTCTAGCTCTTCTAGCAGGAAATTAAGGTAGAAAAAGGTTCTTGTTGATGCTCTGAGAATCTTACAGATGTTACGGAGTGTAGTGGGAGAGTGAAAAAACAGGGAGAAAAAAAAAGGGAGTAAAATTCATGTCTGGAAGAATATTTCTGTTTGTGAATTAATGAAAACATTTTCCACAACTGATGTACCTAGATTTTACTAGTAAAACCAGAAGTTTGTTTATACATATACACGCAACAGTCAAGTAAACAACTGAAAGGAGCTTTAAAACATGGAGATAAATAAGAAAATGTAGTGTGAAAGGTCAATCAGAAATGTTCGCAATTGTGATATCCAACTGACATTTTAGTCCAAAAAAAATCCCAAAAAGACGAGGAACTAACCTTGTTTTAAAAAGCCTCCAAAAGGACATGAAAATTCTTGTTGGCATGATTGTTAACAATGACAAAAAGGAATCCAAGCAGACAAAGTAGCCAACATCTATAAGCTGCAAAATTGTAGTCATCTTTAAGAGTTTCACAAAGAGGTCTTGTTGTGGGTTAAATCTAATTAAAAATAAACTGTTACACCATATTTATTTCATCAGATTGTGCCTCCAAAGACACCTTAGTACTTTAAACCAGAAAAGGGGGCCCATTCCTTACAGCACTTTTCAGAAAGAAAGTGGGGGCAGAACCCCTGAACCTCACCCCTGACGTCAGTCATACAATCTAGTGCACATGATCTACATAATAAGATCGTATAACTCTTTCTTTTCCCATAAGATTATGATAGGAGAATCAATATTACCAGTTCACATCGCCATGGCAAGCGGAATATAGTATCATATACTCTTGGCCCGTTCTTTATCATTGCCAAGAGTAGTTGTGCTCCGTAATGAATTTCCACTATGCATTTCTTCCAAAAAGTACTTCACTGGTGACTTCTCCACAAACAATACATCTGAAGAGCAAATTGTAGCACCATAACTGAAAGTGCAGGATGAAAGAAAAGAAAGGAGATCTTTGATTTTTAAATTTTAAAAAAATAAAATAAAATAAATCACTAAAAGATCTAAATGAAAAAAAAAATTCAATAAACAATCATACTGAAAGCACATTTGTTTCTTACAGATTACTTTTTGGGCTAAATTAGAACATAGTCCAAAATATATAGATTGATACCTTATCGGTGTGTTTTCCATACTACACTCCACATATCTTCCTAAAAGACTAATCAGCAAGCAGAAAAATAAAAATGGAGTAGAAGTATACATAGGCTCCTAGGCTTGCCTGATGCTTATCTCCAACACAAATAGGGTTCAAAACTTACACTGCCCACACATCAAATATGCTGCTCTTCTACAAAAAGAATAGGCAATAAATCATTTTGAAGTATTCACCCTATCATGCAATGTAATTTTACTTTGTACAGTACTAGACCCCTAATGCATCATATGTGAGATCCTGGTAGTCTTCCTCCTAGTGTTGTTGCCTGCTTGTGGAAGGAAGGAAAGTGGGGTTTCCTAAATTTTTGTTAACATGATCTTTTTAAAATAATCAGCTACGATGATATGTAAGTGTTCACAAGGAAAATGGCTTCTACAACTTCAAAAAACAAAATATTCAGCTCAATTAATGTTACCAATCACTGTCAGAGAAAAAATCAATGAAGCTAGCTTTCTCAATCTAACACTACTAAACAAATAAACGGAGGTTCCATTATATAAATATTTTCTTCTCTTCTTTTATATGTATATTACACATCAGGAGTCATTACGCACATAGAAACGAATGAGTTCAATTGTGAATTTTTAAATTGACTTAAGTTATCTCATTTTAAAAGTAAAACTTGTAGGGGGGATCAATGACAGTGCCAATACATTGATCTCCCCATCCAAATAATGAAAAGAAAAAGGCCGTACATCGTATATGTTTTTCTTCAAATTTTTTACAGGTTCAGCCATTTATAAAATAAACTTAACATAAAATGAAAAATATAATTGCACCAAGTTCTCCAAGACATAGGTGCCTACCGAAAAGTTCATGAGCTTGCAAGAAGAAATTCACATAGTGAACAAAATAAAAGTTCAAATTGTGGACGGTTGGTTATTTATGAGATAGCTAGTGTGGAGCCCCCTAGGAAGATGGCTAGCATTGAGCTGGCCTGGGACCACCGAAGGTGAATGGCGTAAGGCAATCTTAGACAAAGAGAAAAGAGTGGCAATGGATAGCTTCTAAGCTTTCCAAAGGAGGTCACCATAACTACATTCTTGCATGCATGGAGGTGGAGACCTCCTTACAAGAAGGTTGGGCCTCAGAGGTCCGCTCATCCGTGCAGAATATCCCATGCTCAGGACTAGGTGTTCAACCCCCTTGGCCTAACAATTCAAATGGTCAACTACTAACAACACTGATGCTCAGATCTCAAAAGTTATATAAGAGGTTGCAACACGGGCAAGGTATACTAGGATTTTTTTTTTTTTTTAATAGCAACAAAACAATTTTTACTGAAACAAAAGAAGAAAACAAAGTCCCCTCAAGGTGAGAAGGGACAAGCTAAATTGGCAAGCCTTCAACTCCAAACTCCAAGTTACATGTACTCTAGTCCAACGCAAGAGTAATGGGTCACTCGGGTGCCCATGACTATGGCACCAACCTCAAGGGGTTCATAGGCACTACTCCAAAACTAGGCTAGCATAGTGGCATCATAGCTCTTCTTAGGGATAGTCAACTTTCGGGGATGGCATGCTCAGTTAGCTAAATTGTTCAACCAAGCCAAGGAAGGACTGAGCACTAGCGCTAAAGAGGAGGCATGCTCAACTAGAGAGTGATTGCGACTCATAGTGATTGTCTTAAGAGGAACAAATGGAGGACATTAGAGATGGCAATTGTTCGAACCCGCTCCAACAAGTAACCAAGGAGATGGGATTTGCATGCCAATCCCCTTCTATCCCACACTTACCCCAATTATATTAATTAAATACATTTTTATGTGTATAGAACTATATATAATTAAACTATTATTAATATGACTAAAAACCAAAAAAATTGAAAGTTTTCACCTATCTATCTCTCATCTTTAATATTTTTAACTCTCATCACTAGCTACATTACATGGACTCTTTGGATTTTCGGAGGTACCTGTGTCGACACGACACGGGTACGAGTGTGGGACACGGTGTGTTACAAACGGATACGGCAGAAGAAATGAAAGAGGAGAGAGCAAGAGAGAACCTGGTCGCCGTTCAAAAGGGTGAAGGCATCGATTTGGTCGCCAACTTCAATCCCTCTAATCGCTGACTTTGACGGCTTCGACTTCGACTGTGACATCGATCTTCTTAGCTCGATGCTCGATCTCCTTCTCTGTCTTCTCTCTCTCTCTCTCTATCTGTCTTCTGTCTCATCTCTCGATCTCCCTCTCCCTCTTCTTCTTCTTCTTCTTCCCTCTCTGTTGCTCTCTGTCTCTCTCTTCTTCTATTGACTCGTCTTCCTCTTCTCTCTATTCTCTTTCTCTTCTTTTTAATTAGATTTATATTATATAACACAAATTACATTAATATAATACTAGTCCATTTTGGGGAATCCAACTTTTTTTAGTAGTACAATTATTGCACTTTAAAAAAATCAATTTTCCAAAATTACTCTTTGATAATACATATTTTGGAAAATATCAATGTCATAATTGTACTTTTTATGTTAATGAATTTAAAAGAAGAGCAAAATAGAAAATTTATTTATTTTTGTACTTGATTTTTGAAAATGGACTAATATTTTGGGACAATGAAAATAACTAAAATAATCAATTTTATCTTATATACTCCCTCCGTCCCAAAATAATAGTCCATTTTGGGGAATCCAACTTTTTTTAGTAGTACAATTATTGCACTTTAAAAAAATTAATTTTCCAAAATTACTCTTTGATAATACATATTTTGGGAAATATCAATGTCATAATTGTACTTTTTATGCTAATGAATTTAAAAGAAGAGCAAAATAGAAAATTTATTTATTTTTGTACTTGATTTTTGAAAAGGGACTAATATTTTGGGACAATAAAAAATGGAATAAGGTACTACTATTTTGGGACGGAGAGAATAATATACAATATTATTCATATTACATAATATTATTCACCCAAAAAAATATTATATAATATAATATATCCTAAATAATATAATTTTGATGCCTAAAATAAAATTAATTTATTTTATCATATATAATATAATTTATTTTATACCTAAATAATTTTTATAATTTTTATTTGTTATTTATATTTTATTTGTTATTTTTTTAACAAAATTTGTTATTCCTTAGCTTTTTTTAACTCATCTTCATATAATAAATATATTTAAAAAATAACTATTTAACGTATCCCCGTACCCGTATCCAAATTTGGATCCATATCCACATATTCTCAATTTTTAATTTTGAAGTGTCTGACCCCTAGATACGCACCCACACCTGATAACGTAGATCACTAGTGTTATATGGAGTCTTCTATTTCCCCTATAGTACATGTGTCTACCGATTATGATAAGGGTAAAGGCATGTATATGTATCCAATACATGTGCACTTCGTTTTTGGACCCAGCTAGCACACCCATTTGAATATCATTACCACCTTTACCAAGCATACAAATGGACCACACTTCACAATCACACTCTTGATGCCATTCATGAGCCTCAATTGCCTTCTTCCCTTATTTTGCAACAGCCATAGTTGAACCAATAAGTGCTTCTGCAACACTTTTTTAACCATTTGAAATTATATTTAATTCCTTTATTTTTGTTATTGGAGTTGTTGCATCTTGGTTTTGGAGGAACACAATTCGATTTAAACTCGTTAAGATTGTTCGTTCGCTTTTGGTTTCTTCAAAAAGTTCATTGGGAACTTAGAATTTCTGTTTTGGTGTCTTAGAATTTCTATTTTGGTGTCTACACTGCCCTCCTGAAGGTCGACATCTACTCTTCTTCTTTTCTTTTGATTTGGTACTCTTGGGGTCGAAACCAAGGCTTTTGGGTGTCGACACCCTGTCTACTTCAAACGTTAGTGTTTCACCACTGCTTCTTAGGGTCGACACCACTCCTTTGGGTGTCGACACTTGTGAGTAACCCAGAAATTTCAAATTTTTGCTTTGCTGATTTTTGCTCCTACTTTTTGGGATCTTTGACTTATTTTCTTTGTTGACTTTAGGTCAAACATTCTATCTTTGACCTAGACTATAAATAGACCCCAACCCACTCTCTTTCCTCACTTTACTTTCTCTTTGTCTCTCCTTTTTCTTCTCCACCGTGAAGCCCACCACACCTCTCTAAACTTAGTTTTTTCACTTCAAGCTTCAAATCTACTCACTAGAGGTATCTTCTTACCTTGCTCCTCTGAGATAAAATGTAGAGCTTGTCGATGGTTTCATTCTAATCGGAACAAATCGCCGTTTCCCTACCGTTGACTTTTGGGGGTTTCTTCCCTCTTCCTCTTTTGTTTTTGAGGTAGGGATTCTTCCTGATGTCTTGTATGCTCTTTAACTTTGATATATATTGTTTTGTAAAGTAAATGATTTTAGAAAGTTAGGATTTAATTTAAGTTAGGTATTATTGCATAAAAAATAGGTTTTCTCTTAGGTTTTGCTTGTTGGTGAATAAATATTCTTTTGGTTAACTTGTGAGTTAGTTTTAGAAAAATAAAAAAATAAAAATTGCTATTTTGAGAAAGAAACCCCAATTTTTTTATGAAAACCTAGTTTGATTTCGAAGCTTTTGGAAAGAGGTTTGGTTGGAAAGATTTGTAAAATCTTTGAAAAAGATGAGTATTGATTACTCTTTTTGAAATATTGAGCTTGTTGAGAAAATTATATTAATTTTTGAAAATTGGTTTTGAATGTTGAGATTCATGAGACTCTTAAGAAGTGTGAATGTTATTTATTGAGAATCGTTGAAATTTTGAAACAACATGGAGATTCCGAATTTTGATATCATGTTGGATTAAATCATTGTTGTTATGCTTTAAATTTTAAAATTTAGAGATAACTATTTTGGCTACCGATAGAGAATAGCATTGATGTGTGTTAAAAATTGCATGTGGTTTAGGCAATTAAACTGTTTATAAATCATGTATCTCATGAAATCATATCACGAATTTGTGAACTACATACGTTATGTTTAGGAAATGATTTCATTTTGACAAAGGGGTAAATAAGATGGTGAAACCATATAGGGGGTGTGGTTGTGGTTAATTACCCACACAATTAGATGCCTTCCTTCCTGTTAGGAGCCGGCAAAGTGGCTTTGGTAGTGCTTGATAGCCTACGAGCAAACACTAGGCTAGGGGATTTACGGCATTGTATTTGTTGTCCTAGTTTCTTATTCAAAAGAAGTGTTTGGGATGTAGTCTTGGAACTCTTGCATGACATTGTTTCAAAAGATATAAACTCATGTTTTTAGACATAGCATTTCATGTGCATTCACCATATGACATTGTTAACTATCATACATGTCATTAAGTTATCCCTATTGGGCTTTATATTCACCTTACATGGAAACAACTTTCAGGTGTTGATGGTATACCTCCACTAAGGTGGAGCTAACAGCTCGTTTTGTTTTGGTTTTCTTTTCTGTATAGCCTTGGGCTTTGGTGCATTGGGCTAATGTCTCACTTTTGTTGTAACCAAGTAATGTCTTGGAAATTTGTAACTTTTTAAGGCATTAATTTGTGTTGATTTAGATATTGCTTTCTTTTCGTTCACATGTTTTGGAACTCATATTTATTATTATTTAAGCTTCCACATATTTAATGAGAATTATAAAGAGTAATTCAACATCTATATTTTCGGGGCATTACAGCTTCCCTTGTTTAGACCCACATTAGTAGACAACTGCTCATGGAAATCCTTGAGAGAGAGCTTCTCAATTGAATTTTGGTTTTTTGTTCTTTAAAGATTTTTCCTACCCATGGTTTCAATAGAGAGACTAGAAAGGATTTTTCAAGCGAGAGTAACCTCCTCATCCACTTGACCAATGACTTCAAATCCCATCCCAACTCTCCTACTCTTGTAACCCAAACAACTTATGTGCATGTGTGATGGGCAACTACATCTATTGCACCCTATCAGATCCAGCAGTCAAACGCTCCATAACTCTAAAAATAATCTTACCAACTGGTGAAATCCGAAAATTCTACCAACCTGTTAAACCTGCAGAGCTCATGCTTGAGACATGGAACTTCATGATAGTGAAATCTCGGTCCCTTAAGAGTAATCTTCTCACAGCACCTTTTTTTAAACAAACTCTAACTCAAGGCTCAGGGATCATTGTTTGAAAAAATCTAACCATATTTTCCATGTTTCAATTCCCCAATCTAACACCATTTTGATGGAGATCAACCATACAAACTAAACCAAATAGGCTGGCAACACATTATTCTGCAAACCCAAACTATATTTACATTAGTTTGATCTCTCTAATGAAAAATCTATATCAGATCAGATTACATCACTTATCCCATATATTGAATGGCAAACTAACAAGGCAGCAGTAAAAGCATGCTAGCTAGAGGAGCATCCCCTGCGTCATAAAGTGTATGAGAAAGAAATGGAAAAGAAAAACATTTGGCAAATACAAGCTTCTTAACGCAAAGCTTAAAGAATTTCTCCCCATATATTTTGTTTAACCACTTAAATTGAAGGCTTTTTATGTTTTTTGTGTTTTAGCAAGCAAAATGGGTACCGTTTTACCGAGATTCAAACACACCAAAGAACTGCACATAGTTATTATTACACATGAAAGGAAGGTAAACAATAGAAATTTCCAACAACACCAATCTTATAATTTTTAAGCGGTTGAAGTTTCTGATTCAAACACGCCAAAGCACTGCAGACACTTTTTACACATGAAAGGAACCAAGCTTCATATATTTATGCTTCTAAAATTTTGTTTGTTCTTCTGCGAGCCAATTTGATATTTCTATCTAAATTGCAAGTTAATTTTGTTTAAACAGCTACCAATTTCTACAATACCATCAACACATCAAACATTTTGAAAACACCAACTACTAATAGAAATACAGGGCATGCAATGATTCACTCACTATTGGGATCTAGTGCCATCAACCGCTTCCAATCCAATGACTCCGCGGTCTCCAATTTCCTTACAACATCGCCGTTCGGTTCCGCCCATTGCTTCAATGAATCCATTTCCTTGTTACCACTCTCATCCTTCGCATTCTCATCAATTCGAGACAGCAACACCGACTCCTCACTCCCACCAGCCACACTTCTCTGCCTCAACTCCCCCCCAACCAAACGCCCCTCGCAATTCTGCAAACTCTGGAACTCCGATTCCCTAACCGCACGCACTGTGCACTCCGGAACTGTAACCTCCTCACAAACAACGCTCTCAACGCTATAATTCTTACAATTCACTTCCAATGCGTGATTCGGATCATCCAGAACCAAATCTTCGCAAATCGAACACGCCATCATTCTCTTCTTCTTCGAGCCTTTGTTCTTGCGTTTTCGCCGACTAGGCTTCGACTCGGAGGGTGAGAATTTCGATCCATCGCCATTGGATATGGATCTGTAGAGGAATTCGATGTCGTTGTCGTCGTCGAAGGGGTTAATCGCGGTGGCGCCAAGTATGTCGAAGGAGAGTTTGCGGCCGCGCGATTTCAACTCCATGGTTTTTAGAGAGAGAGAGAGAGAGAGAGAGAGAATGAATCAGAGTTGTTAGGGTTTGAAGAAAGGAGTGCTTCGAGATTGAGACTCTGTGATCTGATTTGGGTGTTGCCGAAACTCTTCTTGCGTTATCAAGCATGGTTTCTTTCTGCAGTCGGTTTGGCAAATCAGGGATGACAACGTTAATTTACACAAACCTCCCTGAACTATCTGATAATTACAAAATAGTCGAATGTTTGAAATTATACTACTCTCTACTATCAAAATTATAATTGAGAATAAGCCCTTGTTTTGGGAGTGTCTATTTTGAGTCCGAATCCTCTCCAGTTCTTCTTTCCAGCCATCCCTCCGGTCAACGATCAAGATTTAGCCACGTTACCCCACTCAAAATCTGTGGCTAAGATTAGCTAAAATAAATAAAAAAAACCATTAACTTCTTACCACTCACACACACTCAATCTCTCTCTCTCTCTCATTTCAAATAAAAAATTAAAAAACTATTTTAATCCTTTTTATTTTATTTTCATAAGATATATATAAAATTTTAATTTTATAAATTTAATATCATTAAAAATATACCTTTAAAATAAGACTAATATTAAATATCATTAAAAATATACCTTTAAAATAAGACTAATATTAAATATATTTAATAAAAATCTAAAATAAATATAAAAAAAAGGTGTATTTGGTTTGCATGGATACACAGATTCAATTTGTGTTTTATTTGATTTGTACCTATGCATAGATTAAATTTCTGTATATTTTATTTCTTTTAAAAAAAATTATTAACTTGTTTAGTTAATAAATTAAGTTAAAATTCATTATTTTCATATGATTATCTTGTGAAAATAATGACTTTTAATTTAATTTTGTTAACCAAACAAGTTTATAATCATATGAAAATATCAAAAACAATCTTCATTCTAAAAAAAATCATATGAAAATAATAATTTTTAATTTAATTTTATTAACCAAACAAGTTTATAATTTTTTAAGGAAAATAAAATATACAGAAATTCAATCTGTGTATAGATACAAATCAAATAAAACACAAATTTAATCTGCGTATAGGTGCAAACCATATATACTTTTTATTTATTTTAAATTTTTATTAAATATATTTAATATTAGTCTTATTCAAAAGGTATATTTTTAATGATATTAAATTTATATTATGAAAATAAAATAAAAGGATTAAAATAGTTTTTTTATAGCGACCCCGGTTTTTTTTCCCATTTGACAAAGGTACATTTTTAATGATATTAAATTTATAAAGTTAAAATTTTATATTAAAAATTATATTTATATATATATTATGAAAATAAAATAAAAGGATGAGTGGTGGGATGTCAGAGAGAGAGAGAACGTGAGTGATTGAGTGTGAGTGAATGGTAGGATGTAAATGAGTTTTTTTTTTTTTTTAAGCTAATCTTAACCACAGATTTTGAGTGGGGTGACGTGGCTAAATCTTGACCGTTGACCGAAGGGATGGCTGGAGATGAGAGCTGGAGAAGATCCGGACTCGTCTATTTTAACTAAAAAGTTAAAAAGTTATTATGAGTTGTCACACCACTCTCTTTATTTTTATTTTTTGTATATTTTTTCATAAAAAGTCAAAAAGTTACTAAAATAATATGTTCTCAAACGAGATCTAAGGAATTGTTTGTGGTTTGCTTAAATATACTTTTTTGACTTTTTATCAAAAGGTGTATGAAAAAATAGGTAAGTGATGTGACATAAATAAATGCACTTATTTACAGCATTTCCAAACAACCCCTAAGGCCTTGTTTAGAAAGATGAGTTTTTAATTAAAAAATTACTATTAGTTATTACATCACTCTCTTTATTTTATTTTATTCATATTTTTTCATAAAAAATTAAAAAACTAGTTAAAGTAGTCAATTCTCAAACTAGTCCTAATCGCGAATGTGTAAATAACTTTTTAATCCTTAGAAAACCAAATTTCCATTATATTATACTTGTTTCCAAACAAGTAAATTACACTTCCCTTATTTTTAAAATTATCATCAAGATTCTCCTTTTTGTTATCTCAATCCATATCATTTCCTTCCTCTCACAAACAAACTTTATTTCTATATTGTTTCTAATTTATTTTCCTTGATTTTTCTCACATTTTTTTTTATTCATTTTTATCATTTTTCTCCTTCCCTTATTTTTTTCTATTATTCTTTCATCATGACCCACTTTTTATCTCTAACAAAAACAACATTCACCTTCGCTGTCTCAATAAGTGTGGGTTTGTAATATTACTCAATACCATTGCAACTTACAAACACATGTATTTTCTTTTGTTTTGTAAACATGTGTATCAAATATTTTTAAAAAATAAACACACGTTTCATAATGTCACTTACACACCTAGATAGCGGTCACTACATTGACCTCTCCAGTTAATAACACACTTGAAACTCTAACTATTACTAACTACATTCCTCACATTCCCTCAATTACAACATCTCCCAAAAACTTCACCCCATGAGTCTAAAATCACACTTCCCAAACTTAATTAATCAAGAAGAGGCCTAAATAGCGCAAATACTAACAAACAATTCACATGCTCACACCAAAGAAAGTAATCCGTACCGAATCTAGAATTTACAATGGATCCTGTTAACCCAGGACAAAAGGTCACCTTAACACATATTCGGCTCTGTATATTACTTCCAAAACTTCCCCTTAACTCTCTTTACGCCTCACTGCCACCCAACTCAAAATAAACCTATGAAATGAGCCGTCCTAGTACAACTACCATATCTTTCAATTCTAATCAAACAAGTGATCAACATCCTGGGTTCACAACCTTCACCGCATATATACAAAATACTCATATTCTGTGGACAAAGCATGCAAAAAAGACTCTACCTTCAGTACAAGAAACACACAACCAACCACATCGGCACACTCTCGCATACCGCCAATCCAAAATGAAATGTGAATCTATTATTATGATAACCACCACAAAACGAAACTAACTGCCCTTAGTAGACTAGAAAGAAATTTTCATAAACGAAACTCAAGTCATCTTTACGTCAACCACTCTCAACTACCCCAAACACCAACACAATCAACTCCTAATGACCTGATAAGGAATTCTTGAAGATGTACTAAGGACGCGATTCATCTAACTCATTTCTTGGTATGATAACAATAACATCTTACCCTACATCGACCCATTACACTCAAACACTTCATCCATTCAACCACTCTTCTCTCTTAGCACCAAAACGACAATATTCCAACACCAAACACTCCTATGTGGATTTTTACAACTTCTCCTACACCTTTTCAAGTCCAAGGTGAACTTCTCAAGGCCAAAACCCATAATTCCTGTCATAGAACAATCTACACCCCCAACGCAAATCACGTACAACCACACTACACCAAAGACCGATGAGGTCCATGATACACTCACTATCTACACCAATCTACATGCACCTAACAACAATCACAACATTGCTCCTGTCACTACAAGACACAATCCTCTTATTCTCCCAAGAAGTCTCCACTGCAATAAATCAAAACTTATACTTCTATCCTAAGCCAATAGCCAACATCAACCAAACTGGATATACTGACTTGTATAACTCCATCCTCGCAATATTCTAATTAATCATAATGACCCTCAAAATACCCATCTTCCACCAACTCCACTGTCCACCCATTCTAAATCAATTTCAACCAAACACAAATTATTCAACATAATAAGCAATCCCTAAGTCAAAATAAGGCTCTCCGGCCATCACATTCCTAAGTCAAAATGCAATAGTTCATACGTGTCAAGATGAAGATTTTCAAATTCCACAACAACTCATCACACTAAGGGAAACTCAAAATCACAACATATCCAACTCATAAAACATAAACAACCCACCATATATACGTACATAAACAAAAGTCATAATATTACAACATTCTACACCGTACCGGTTACAAAACAAAATGATCACATAATAATTACGATTGTCTATCCTCTAGTCACAAAACAAGGTAACCAAAACTAACTGCCTAAAATAGCCATCTCTCCTTCAACTCCATTATCACATTTCTAACCAGACTGTCGAAACTGGTCATTCTCAACCCCCAGAACACTCCCAGAATTCTGATGCCAAGGACAAGAGCTACAGATGTGACCCAGTTGGCCACACTTAAAACACACACACATCTCCCCACTCTGAGGATAAAAGTTTGACCCTCTAAAGGCCCTCAAAGTCTAGCCTACTCAGCTCTGGTATTGGTATCGCCCCTGCTCAAACAAATAAGGATGAACCCAACTAGATTACGAAACACCCAAGGAAGTCCCCAGTTGGGTACAAAAATGCCTAACATGACCCGACTAATTACACACATAGCAAATAGGTGGTCCCCGAATACTTGACTGGTTCGATGTCTGAACTGGTAAGGATCCCAATGACTGCTCCCTTTGTGAGCACTCGATCGCCCCAAGTTCTAGTTCGCTAGATGATCCCGATGGTGTAACTATTGGTTAAGGCAACAGCCTTGTATTTCTCCTTTGGTTCTTACTAAGTCTACCACGGCCCCAAGTTGCACAAGTTGCCAAAGTGACCTCATTCCCACTCTGCCCCATGACTAGAACTACGGCCTCTATGTGAGCCGTCGCTTCCACAAGTGCACGATAATTCCTATGCTAAGACCCGACAATCCTTTCCCGAACATCATCATATAACTTACTCTCGAACTTTATATAACGGAGCTCCTCAATTTCCACCAACTCTGAAGTGAACCTCGATAGGTTGGTAAACCACGCCTCAAATTGTGCCAAAGGTGTAGTACCCTGACGTAACTCCAGAAATTGCTTCCTCAATTCTCCCCGTATGAAAGGAGAAAAGTCATCATTTCCTCGCCTAGACATCCTAATAAAAAACAAGAACAACAAATTTAGTACACATCCAAAGGTGCCACCTAACAAAATCTCATACACTCTAGCATTAAACACACCATGCATTCCATATAAGCATTTAGCCATATAATCACATACGAATCATGCCCACTAGATAGGATTTGTTCCACGAAACCCCAAGAATTCATATTAGATGAACACTGATCAAGTGTTTTTCTAATAAGACCTCAAAGTATTTAATAGACACAAATCACATCCTAAGAATCCAATTCCGTACTCACTTAGCCACATAAACATGCTATCATTCAGTAT